GTACTGTAGAGTAGAACTCTGATTAACCACAGGCTAATCCATTCTAGCGAACATATTCATTGTTTAAAATACAAACAATCGCTGCTTGAAAAAAAGAATTTCCTCTATTTTTCTATTAGTAACAGCAGAAGAAAAAAAAAGAGAAGTGGGTCCTAAGCCCTGCTCTGTGGCTCACAGAATGAATGCTATTGAGGAAACAAAATTATAGGCAAGTTCTGTATCCTAACTCTGCCCATTCCTTGTGGCCTCCTGCTTTTCAAGAACTAAAAGGGAACAGACACTGGCCCTCATTATCCTCATGTGAAATACATTCGAAAACCCATCTTCTTTGGCACACTTATGTATCTTAGCAGAAAACACTGATTTTAAGGCAATAAAGTAATGCACACCCTCAAAAAGTACCCCCAACCCTGAAGTTCTAACTTCAAAATTCTACTAGAAGTCTCATTTTTCAGTTTTTAGTACATAATACCTCATTACTAGCCTTATTTTAACCAGGAAAAAAAAAAAAAAAAACAGATGTGCAACCAGAATTTAAGCTTCTATGTGCCTATTACATCCTGAATGCTAGAATTTGGAATATTCTCAAGAATTATTGGCATTTCTTGACTTAATAATAACCTATGAGATACTTGGTCTATTACTAGTATAAAAATGAAGTGTGTTATCCTGGCTGGAGTCATAAATAATTTTTTTTTTACTTTGATCAAGAATTTTCTAAGTGGGTCGAATTTAGAGAAAAATAGAAGAGAGCATTAAAAGAAATACTTGGGGAAAAAAACTTGAATGTTTTATCAATTATTTTCATGCTACATAACACTAACTTTAATGGGGATAAGAAAGGTAAAGTGGTGTTAACACAAAATGTTTCTGCGTCACAGGTGACGAGGGTAAAACAGTTTGTGTGACATTTGCACTTTGAAGTTGTGTCCCCTCAGCTGCTCACAGAGGTGAAACATCTATGCTGTCACTGAACTGAAATTATTTCTCACATCTTTGTTTGCCCTAGCCCTTTGGGAAACTGATTCAAAATTATTTTCATTATAGTACATTAATTTTTAAAATGCTATGGTAGTTAACTTTTAAACTGTTGCCCTTACAGATTAAAAACAAAATACCTTAGTTCTCTAAAATCTGTATATGGATCTTTAAATATAAATGCAACTTCCTTTTTTTACTATACTCACACCTCCCATCAAAATCATTTAACACCAGAAATTATTTTCTAAAGAAAGAGAGAGGCACAACACATATTTTAACTCCCACATAATAGCACTGCAAATGTGGTAACATCTGCATTTTTCTTTACTAATTGCAGTGTTTTCTGAAGTTAATTGTATGAAACTGATTTTTTTAGCACAACTTTTATATATCACTTTTAGCTTAATTGGTACTTTGAATAATAAATTGTTTTAGTGAGAGCACATTGTTTGATACTGCTAATGAAATTATTTTAATGTTCAGCTTAACTATTATAAGAAATTTTGTCTTATATTTTTAAATGTAATTCTCAGCTGTAGCACATTAATTAACCTGATAAGTACTTTCTTTTTTGTTGAAATAACAATATATAAAACCTCTTGGATAACTGGCAGAAAATACTGTATTTGTACTGCAGCTACACATGAAACCTTCAATGACACATTTTTTTATTTGCTACTATTGCTTAGCAAATATTTTTCCATGCGCCATTCTTCTGCACCAAAAGAACCTGACAGTAAAATAGAGTCATCTTTTTAGTAATAATACCCACATGGTCTTTAGATCACATTTTAGGTCTGTTAAGAGAAAAGCAGAAACCAAAACAAAATTTAACAGAGTTTATTTGAGCAAAGAATGATTCATGAAACTGTAAGCAACAAACTGAAAAGAGGTTATAGGCAGAAGTGTAGCAGCTGGAGCACAGAGTTTAAAAACTATAAATTTGCTATAAATAGCAAATAAACTGATTGGCTACTGCTAAGTGTTTTCCTTTTTTGGGAATGATCCAAGGCGGGGTATCACAATGAAGAGTCAATCAGCTTTGATTAGCTGAAGCATGACTCAAAATTCATCATTTACAAAGGATACCGCTAGGTTAGGTTTCTGTTTTCTGATGTACACTCCATAAGGGTTTCAGCTAAATAGCTGTAATCTCACTGCCTCTTGTTTATTTCATTTGTTCAGACTCTGTAATGTTAGATGGAGCGGCAACATAACAGAACATCTACCTGACTAATGACTTAACAATGAAATTGGTATCATTCAGAGTAATTCAATTCAATACATTTTCATTATGTTTTATGGACTCAGTATTGTTGCTATCACTAATATGAGAAAAAGGAGAAAATAATTATTGAAAGACTAAATTCTTGCTCTGAAGATTATAAACCATCGAAATGACTGGTGGGAGGGTCCTGGGGATTTAGCTCAGCGGCGTAAGCGCCTGCCTTGGAAGCAGGCAGTCGTGACTTCGATCCCTGGTACTGATTTAAAAAAAAAAAAAAAAAGCAAATGACTGGTGGGGGCATTGCCTAACAAGATTCCATAAACAGTTTCCCAAAATATGCATATCATACAGTATTATTCTCTGCATCATGCTGTATAGATAGTTAAAAATTTTAAGAGATTAGTGGAAAGAAAATTTAGTGTAAGTTAAAATCATTTCAAGAGGCTTTGACAGAAGTGGGTTTTGAACTGAAAACTGAATATATGGTTGAGATTTGGAAACAGGAATAAGAAGAGACTTTCCAGGGGCCCAATAATTTTTTTTTTTTTTTTTGTACTGGAGATTGAACTCACAATCTTGTGCTTGCCAGGCAGGGACTTAGGCCACTGAGCCAAAGCTCCATCCCCAGGGACTCAATAATGTGAGCAAACACTCAGAGTAAGCAGTTTTGCAGTGTTGAGAAGACAGTGAGACCTCGTAGGTCAGCTCAGAAAAATTGATGTTGGGAAGAAGTGGAAGATCTTGTCATCTGGGTAGTACGAAGGAATGCCAGGATAAAGGATTTGTAAAATAATAACGAACCACTGAAGATTTCTGGATGTAGATGCGATCAATACTTCACAAAAGGCTGATCTGAAGCTTTGAGATCAAAGTGGAAAACTCGGTCTAAGGAATATACAAGCAAAAACCAAAACAAAACAAAAAACAGGCAACGTGGGGAGCTAACACCAACCTGGAATAACATTAAGTCTTAAAGTAAGAACTGTCTGCCTAAGCAGGAACGCCCTAGTCTTCCTTTGGGGACAGGAATTATTTCCAGGGTTGCTAAGATCTGTGAGTGAATCTTCTAAAGGAAATGTGAGCAGGTTAACACAAATGTACATATAAGAATTTGTAAAAATCCTGATGTGATGGCAGTGGATTTCAGAACAATAAACTTGCACTGTTAAGATGAATGGATTAACACAGAAATCAGGTATACAGGAGCTCTGGAAAAATAATTTCAGCAAATAAGAAGTGAGCTGATAGGGGCTCTGGCAAAGATCCCAAGTGTGGTTACTACATAGTAATACATATAAACATTCAAAAAAGAAATATAGAAATGAAATGTATTTCATCTTCAACATAGGTAAAAAAAAAAAGGCAATAGCAATGCTATGGAACAGAAGTAAAAGAGTTGGAGAAGAAAATTATACATAAAGAAAAGGAAATTTCTTTTCTCAGCCCAGTAGAATTTGACTGGGAAGTATTCACAGCAGTCGCCTGTGGCCACCATATTTTGAATAATTTGGAGAGATACTAAGTCTCGTGGAGTCTGGAATGCAGTTTGTTTTCCCCTCTTGGGCTTGTAGCTCATGGTAGATTGGTTTATTTAAGAGATTTCAATATCTGGGGCACTATTTAATGTTTAAATGCTGGTAGAAACACTCTGAAATGCTGGCAGATAAAACACCTTGGTTTTTGCATAGATGATCACGTTTTTCATGGAGATCAGTATTTCAGTGTACAATAAAGTTACAACTAGATGATGTGTTTAATGAAGTATTTTCTCCAAATTACAATTTTTTTTCTTGTAGTTAGGTATCATCTTCCACTAAAGTCATGTCACTAAGGTAAAATGAGTTGTAAAGATGATTGGTCCTGAGTTAAAAGAACAATGTTTAATTGAAAAAATCAAACTGTAAGTTTAATAATTAACATCTGTTGTGTGTCAGAAAACATGTTAAGTGCATTATGTACATTAAAGAATTAGCAAACTGTCCTATCAAATATGTGCTTTTACTGTCTTCATTAGCCAGATATATTGTGGCCAGAGAAGCGATTAAACTGCCTAAGATTGTGCTGTGTTAGTTAGGGTCAGAGCTATGTTCTGACAGGTTGAGAATGATTCTGAAATTCTTATTCTTAGCTGCTATACTGTGCCTGCGTCTTCTGACTTAAATGACCAAACAAGGTGATTTTGAATTTTACTACATCTTTCAGCGCTGCACCCACAAAAAATATGATTTCTGTCATGTAGGAAGAGAACAGCATTTCATTTTAAAAGCATGCTGTTGAATGTTTAGCAACCTATGTTCTCACATTTCTGGCAATGAATATTATTATGTGTTAAACTGGGCTCACTGAAAACTTTTTATTGACTTTATAAGTTTGTTATGGTATAGGCCTTCCGTATACATCCTGAATTTGAATTGAGAATATGTGGAAAATTATTTTGTAACTATTTTAGGAAAAAGTCAAGTATTCTATGTATTTCTAATATGTCATACATTTCATATATATTTCTGATACTATATATATATATATTCTAATACATATATTTCAAATGCTGTTAGAAATAAAGTTTGCCTTTAAAAAAATCTTACACCCCAAATAAATTTTAGAAATAGACATCTGTATGTGTGTGTGCGTGTGTGTGTATATGTTTGTGTGTGTATGTGAACGAGACTTAATAAGCATGTATTTCTAGCTAAAATGTTTCTGTAACAGAAAGAATGCATGCTACATAACTTAAATTTGTTCTCTTCAAATATGAGACTAATGGAATGCTGTTTGCTTGTTCTTCTAACAGCTGAGTTTTTGTTCCTCTTGCGAGGTGTTCACCTCTGCTACGCCGTGCGGACCGTCCCGTCAGCATTCCACGAGCCCCGCTACATGGCTGTCGCCCTTCACAATGAGCTCATTATCTCTGCTGTGTTCCACACAATTAGGTAAGTGATCTACAGAGCTGGTCAGCAGCTGATTTAGTTTTCTGACATGATGCAGTTTAATTTAAATAGAAAAATTGGATAGGATATATCCTGGAAAGGCTCGGGAAGGCTAATATTTTGTAAGTTGATTAATTGTTACAGAACTGACAAATAACTTTTTTGTTGTTGTTGTTATTCTTAGTTCTTTCCAATGTGTTGGGTTTTTGTCTTACTTATTTTGAAAATTGTCTCAGTATTCTTTTTGTATGATATTAAATCACTGTGGGATACTATGGGATATTACTTTATGTGACAATGTGTTATAAAGCTATAAAACTACACACAAAGCAGATATAGAGAGCTAATCTACTTTCATTCATGTTTACTGTACTGATTTATACTTTCAAGTTAAACCTATTTAAAGCAGTAGCACACATATCCTTTTCTACTTTAGATCTACTCTGTTCACTTTTCTTCATTAAATCCACTTTTTTTCCCCAGGGGATTTCAAACAACTGTCCCAGGTCCTTTCAGAAATAAGAAAGATTGGGGCTGGGGGTTTAGCTCAGTGGCATAAGCACCTGCCTTGCAAGCAGGTGGTCGTGAGTTCGATCCCCGGTACCAATAAAAAGGAAAAAGACAAAAAAAAAAAAAAAAAAGAAAGATAAATTACATAATAAATGAATTTTTAAAATTTAGTAATAAGGCAATAGGTGGTCATTATGGAGAAATAATAAAGAAAAACGTAAACCCCATAATCAGAACACCCAAAGATAGACATTAACATATGAGTATATTACTTTTAAATTATTTTGTATATGTATTTGTGATAGATTGTGGGGTTTTTTTGGTTGTTTTTTTTGGGGGGGGGGGTTTATTTGAGAAGAAAAAAAGAAAGGACATGTAAAAAATGCAGTAAAAGGGTACAAATAATAAAGTATTTCAAGAAAAAAATATATACAGTAAGAAATCACCAGTTAATAGGTTACATATTATCTTCCCAGAACCAGTTGCCCATATTATTAAATTAAAGCATATAAAGTGTACATTCATACAGTGAAATTGGAGACAGTTCTGTTCAATGATTCAACAAAAGCTCAGTTATATGGTTTTCCATCCTACACACTCGAACATACCTGCGGTTATATCCTTAGTCCACCTTACTTTCCTCTCTTTTAACAGTAACATTTAGACTTTTAGGGTTTTATACTCTCACGGTTCTTATTACTTTTTTGAAGAGAATAAAACCAAATGTGACTAAGCAAAACAGAGTCAGTTAGAACAGAAGGGAGGGCATAGCACATGATGCAAAAATAGAATACCAGGTAATCAAAAGTGGTTACCATTGTGCCTCTGGCTATTTTTAAATTGACTTGTCTATATCATCAGGTATAATAGAATTGATCAAAACAGAACAGAACAAAACCAATAAAACCTACACTGAGGACCTTACAGGACTTCAAAAAAAGGATAATAGTCAATCCATATTGGGCATTATAGTATATCTTATTGCCTTCAAAGTGGTTGCCTATACCCTCAAACTTGATACTGTCAAACAAAATAGAATATACAATAATCAGACAGAACAAGATGGGGAGAGCAATACTGGGGTTCAAGTCAGGTTAATAGGACAACAAAAAAGTTACTATAATATGTCCCATTATTTTTAATTTAGTTTTTCCTTAATTAAAAAACTGAGAGAAAAATAGATTAATTTTAAAAAAGGAGGGGGAGATTGAGATAAGAGAAGACATTGTAATAGAACAACGCAGGGCAGAACCGAGCAATTCAAGCATCATTGTGTTTCACCACCAGATAATGTAACATAGTAGTAGGCGCCATAGTTCCTCTTCTTAAATTATTTGAGTGTAACTTCGTATGCTATAATATCAAACATATCAAGATAGTGTGAATTTCAAGAGAATGCAAGAATTACAGGTTATTTAGAACCAGCTAATAGAAAACAAACAACAGTTTCTATATTATCTCTTTGCCTATAAAGAATTTTGTTTATACTATAGCATATAGTGAAATATAGCAAGATACAACATGTTAAAACCAGTGGAAACAGATGTACCGCAGCTTGATGGGACTTCAAAACAAGAAGATACTAAATCAGCACTAGCTTTTATGTTGTGTTGCTTTCTTTAAAATAGCTATTCATGCTATCATAGATACTAACATCGAACAACCCAGGTTAAAACAATTGCGGTTAATGAGTGAAAACATTATATGGCTTCAAGCCAATATGATTGGGAATCATGATTACCACATACTTCCATGTATTCTTATCATTTCTTATACTAGGGAAACTATTCGGTATTTATACATGTGAGTTTGATTTATTTCACTTATGAGTATGGTCTCAAGCTGCATCCATTTATTTATAAATGTCTCAGTGCAGTCATTCTTTATAGCTGAGTAGTACTCCATTGTATAAAAATACCACAACTTTTTTATCCATTCTTCAGTTGATGGACACTTAGGTTGTTTCCAAGAACTGGCTATTACAAATTGCGCTGCTATAAACATGGGTGCATGTATATCACTGTGGTATGATGCTTTCAGTTCTTCTGAGAATATGCCTAGAAGTGGTATAGCTGTGTCATATGGGGCTTCCAGTCCCAGTTTTCTGAGAAATCTCCAGACTGACCTCCACAATGGTTGCACTAGTCTACACTCCCACCAACAGTGCAGGAGAGTTCCTTTTTCTCCACAGCCTCTCCAGCATTTGTTGTTGATGGTTTTCTTGATCTTGGCCATTCTTTCAGGAGTGAGATGAAATCTCAGTGTGGTTTTGATTTGCATTTCTCTAATGACCAACGATGATGAACATTTTTTCATATATTTATTTGCCATTTGTATTTCTTCATCTGCGAATTGTTTATTCATCTCAGATGCTCATTTTTGGATTGGGTCTTTGAATTTTGAGGGTCTGATTTTTTTTAATTCTTTATATGTTTTAGACAGAAGTCCTTTGTCTGAGGGGCAGTTCACTAAGATTTCTTCCCAGTTTGTGGGTTTTCTTCTCACCATGCTGGAGACTTCTTTTGATGTGCAGAAACTTTTTAATAAGAGGTGATCCCAGTTACTGATTCTGGGAAGTATTTCCCATTGCGGTTTGAGTCTGTTCATGAATTCTCTACCTACTCCTATATTTTCAAGTTTTTAACCCAATTTGTCTTCCAATAGACTTAGTGTTTCTGTTTTAATATTTAGATCTTTGATCCATTTAGATTTTATTTTAGTACATGGTGATAGGCATGGGTCTAGTTTTAGTTTTTGACATATGGAGAGCCAGTTTTTCCAGCACCATTTATTAAATAGATTTTTCGTTCTCCCAGTGAACATGTTTGGCCCCTTTATCGAAGATAAAGTGGTTGAATGTGTTTGTAGTTGTGGTTGTATCTTCTAATCGATTCCACTGATCTTCAGCTCTGTTTTGGTTCCAGTGCCATGTTGATTTTACTATGGTTGCTTTTAGTATAACTTCAAGTCAGGGATTATGATAACCTCCTGCCTTGCCTTTGGTGCTTAGAACTGTCCTTGCTATTCTAGGTCTCTTCTCACTCCAGATGAATTTTAGGAGTGATTTCTCAAGTTCTATGAGGTATATTAATGGTACTTTTATCGGGATTGCCTTGAATCTGTATAAAAGTTTGGGAGAATGGCCATTTTCACAATATTTATTCTTCCTATCCATGAGCAAGGGATGTTTTTCCATTTTCTGAGATCATCTTCAATTTCATTTTTCAGTGTATTATAATTTTCCCTGTACAGGTCTTTCACTTCTTTTGTGAGAGTAATTCCTAGATATTTCATTTTTTTGGTTGCTAGTATGAAGGGTGTGGCTTCTCATTTCTCTTTCTGTGACTTTGTTGTTAGTGTATAGGAATGCTATTGATTTTTGAGTATTGATTTTATAGCCAGCTACATTACTAAATTTATTTATTATATCTAGCAGTCTTTCAATGGAGTTTTGGGGATCTTCTATATAGAGTATCATGTCATCTGCAAATAATGATAGCTTAACTTCTTCTTTTCCTATCTTTACGCCTTTTATTTCTCTCTCTTGTCTAATTGCTCTGGCTAGTATTTCCAGTACTATATTAAATAGGAGTGGTGATAAGGGACATTCTTGTCTTGTGCCTGATTTTAAAGTAAAGGCCTTCAATTTTTGGCCATTTAGTATGATATTGGCTGTTGGTTTGTCATAGATGACCTTTATTATATTGAGGTAAAGACCATCTATTCCAATTTTCTGCAGGGTTCTTATCATGAATGAATGTTGGACCTTATCAAAAGCTTTTTCTATATCTATAGAAATGATCATGTGGTTCTTACTTTTGGCTCTATTGATATGGTGTATTACATTTATTGATTTATGTATATTGAGCCATCCCTGCATGCCTGGGATGAATCTCACTTGGTCATGGTATATGATCTTCTTGATGATTTGCTGCATCCTATTTGCCAATATTTTATTGAGGATTTTTGCATCTGTGTTCATTAGTGAGATGGTCTGTAGTTCTTTTTTTTAGTTGGGTCTTTCTGAGGTTTTGGTACTAGAGTAATATTTGCTTCCAGGAATGACTTAGGAAGGATTGCTTCCCTTTCAATTTCATTGAATAGTTTGAAGAGTGTCGGCATTAGGTCTTCTTTGTATTTCTTGTAGAATTCTGCAGTGAATCCATCTGGGCCTGGGCTCTTCTTGGTGGGTAAAGATTTAATTATGTTTTGATTTCATTAATAGAAATTGGGTTATTCAGTAGTTTTACATCTTCATAACCTAGCTTTGGTACTTCGTATGCTTCTAGGAATCTGTCCATTTCCTCTGTGTTATCAAACCTTTGAGAGTAAAGGTTTTCAAAATAGGTGTTGATGATTTTCTGTATTTCTATAGGGTCCGTAGTGATTTCTCCTCTTTCATTCCTTATTGCATGAATTTGAGCTTTTTCTTCCCTTTTTTAAATAAGTTGGCTAGGGGCTTATCAATTTTATTTATTCTTTCAAAGAACCAA